AACTATGAATCATAGTCATAGTCATGGTCATCAACCTAACCTCACTGAACTATGAATCATAGTCATAGTCATGGTCATCAATTTTACACGTATATGAATTATTTTGTTTGAAATAAAAAAAAATTTAATTTCAATTTATTAATCAAATAAATAAGTAATAAGTAATAATGATAATGATAAACAATACGAACGCTTTCACCTTAATTTTGAATGAAAGTTTTCGTTGAAAAATTGTAAGTAAAAAATGAAAATTCGACAATTGAAAAAAATAAATTTTACATAAAAAAAATCAGATTTTATACAGAAAATTTCATCATACAGATTTGATACAGTGAACAAAACATACAAACAAAATTGATCAATATTACAATTAATTAAGTGAAATTTTTAGAAAACGATTTTCCTCAAAAAATGTATTCATCGTCGAATTCATATCGTTAATCATCATATTTGATGATGTTGATGATATTGAACGACATGACATTGCCGATGATGATTGTTGTGTTCGATGTAATTGTTGACCATACGATGGCAGCGTTGATGTTTGTTGTTGTACAGAATTATTATTATTATTGTTATCAAGTTGAGATGATGATGATGATGGTGGAAGCATCGTTGCTGTTGATTGATGATCATATGATGCAATGGTTACATCATTATTTGGATAACAGGAATAATTTGTCATTGAAAAATTCGTATTGTTAGCATCCGGAATCGTTGGATAAGGTGGTGGTGATGGTTTCTTTTCCGTTGATTGTTGTTGAATTTGATAATTGTTGTTGTTGTTGTAATTCGTATTCCATTGATTAAATTGATTGTTATTATTCAATGTCTGTGTTGAATAACCGTTATTCATTATCGGTTGTGGATTATTATAATGCTGCGGATTTTGGCCATAACCATAATATTGCTGTTGTTGATATGGCGCCGTATTACGTTGTTGTTGTTGTTGATTAGATGGATTCCATTGTCGCTGTTGTTGTTGTGGAATATTTCTCATTGATGAATTATATGATGAAAATTGTTGCTGTTGTTGTTGCCAATTGGTCGGTCTAACATAACCTGGCTGTGATTGTTGTTGAGGAACATTACCTACTTTTTGATTCATGGTTTGAAAATTAATTAATTTTTTGATTTTAAATTAAAAAATCCAATCAAATTACCTTGATAGTTTGATGCATTCCAATTGTTTGCAACAGGTTGTTGTTGTGGCTGTTGTTGCGGACAAGGAACCGAATGAACCGGTGATGTTAATGGTCCATTTTGATAGAAATTTTGTTGCATATTTACTAATTGCAAATTGTTGTTGTTATTAATCGGTTGACCATGACCATTATTAACGACCGGTTTGTTTGGTAATTGATTCGATACTGATGGATTTGTTGCCGGCCAATTCGTTGATTGCGGTTGTTGCATTGCTTGTATCGAAGAGGATTGATTTGTTTCTTCAACTTTGATCGTTGCGGTAATCGTCGATGATTGTTGCTGAGGTGGAACAGCTGATGGAGGTTGTTGTTGGGTGTTTGATGATGGCACATCATTATTAGCAATAACCGTTTGAACTGATCGAGGTGATGATAACATTGAAACAGTGGAACAACCACCAGGTGACATAACTGACATTGGTGTTCCAGGTGACATTACCATTGAAGCTGTCACCAATTGTGGTCCATTTTCGGTAACCATTTCTTCTTTGATAATTTCCGTTTCAAGATATTGAACCTATTATGAAAAAAACAAAAAAAAGATAATTAAAATTCAATGCTGAATGGTTGATGATATTTACCATTTCATCGGGAAATATAATCGGTTCATCAGCTACGGTGGCGGTCGTCGTGGCAGTGGCCGTATTCGATGTGGTTAATGATCGTTGTTGAGCCGCTGTTTCATTTTGATTAATGGCCGACGACGATATTGATGATGATGATGGCGGTGAAAATGGTACGATCATATTAGATGGAGGTAGCGGTAATGGCTGCGGTGGTGGCAAAATTGCCGCATATTGTTGATCATGACTTAATGCTAATGATTGTGGTTGAATGACAAGATTGTCAGTTTGCTTCAGATGTTTTGGTTCGTTTTGTGGCTGATGATGATTAAGTTGTTGTGAACGATTATGATTACACGACATAGTAGCTGCGGCAATCGAATTTAAACTTGCTTCCGATGAACGACGTGATGATCCATCAATCGATATTGGATCATATGAATTACAACGATTAATTGATGTTTGTTGACTTGATTGCTGTTGTTGTTGAGTTATTGTTGCTGTTCCACCAGATGATCCAGAATAACGTTGTTGTTGTTGTCCATATGATTGTTGTTGCTGTTGACTACCATTAGTTGAATAAGAATTATTTGTATATTGTGAATTTGAATTTTCTGATCCTAATACTGAACTATAATATGAATTTGAATGTAAACTTGAACTAATACTATCATTTCGTGATAATTTTGTTTTCGATGATTTTGTTGTCTTTGATTGGTGATCATATTGTTGTTGATCATTATGACGATGACGATTTGATTTGTTAAACATATTTGGCAGCCATGTGGCAGCTGTTTTCAATCCACTTTTGAATGCTTTGAAATTATTTTTGAAAACATTTTTCGAACGTGGTTGACCAATTGGATCGGAGCCATTTACAGTGATAATCATACCGGATTGATCTTCGATTTCAAAATTCGAATAATTTGCTCCTGTTGATTGTTGGTGGTTATGAATAAAACCACCACCAACAACACCATTATCATTATCACCATATCCACAATCACTGTTGTTTGTTGCTGTTGTCGGAACAATCCATTCGGTATCGAAACCATTACCATTATGACATGTTGATGCTGTTATTGTTGTTGTTGAAACAGCATTATCACTGATTGGTGCATCGATAAACATACCCGGAGAATTATCATTCGAATAATTACCATAGCTTGGTTGATTTTCCAACGAATCTTGCGCATTTTGTGGTGGCGATGATCCATAACCGCCTGGTAATGAAATAAATAGAGAAAAAAATCAATTACGAATTCCAAATTCAATTTTGTTATGAAAATCATACCTGAACCAGAACCATTCGATGAATTGCTTGATGGTGAAAAATTATCACCATTCGATGGTGATGATTTATATGGTGAATTACCACCATCATTCATTGATAATCGTTGATGATGATTATTCAATGATATTGATCCACCATGATTCGAACCATTCGAACCACCATTATCATTGTTGATTTCAGCCCGAACAATAAATTTATTGGAACATTTTTTACCATTACTGTTATTACTTTTAATACTTTTATTATCGATTTGATGATCAGTACCCCCATTGATAATCGAATCACCATTATTATTGATCAAATTATGACCAAGACCTTTATGTTTTTTTGTTGCATAAACTTCAGCACCATGAACAGTTTTAACATGTTTACGTAATGATGATGGATCAGTATATTTTTTCGAACAACCAGGTACACGACATGCATATGGTTTTTCATTTGAATGCGTACGATTTTGATGTTTTGCACGATCCGATGCATTTGAAAATGCTTTCTGACATGTTGGATATTCACAAACATATGGTTTTTCACCTGTATGTGATCGTAAATGTGTTTTCAGATTTTCCAATCGTGAATATGCTTTTGTACATCCTATTTCGATAATTAAAAATGATAAATATTTAGTGAAAATGCAAATGACAATAAAGATATTTCTTACCTTCAAATGTACATTTATGTGGTTTTTCACCCGTATGTCTACGCATATGTACAACTAACATATATTGTGCTTTAAATGGTTTTTGTTCTCGTGAACAATCTTTCCAATGACAAATGAATACTTTTTTATTTGTATGAATATGATCGGAAATAATATGTTTAACTAAATTATCTTGTGTTTGAAATTCTTGTCGGCAATCATTCCAATAACAATTGGTTTCAATAAAATCAATACAATCATCCAAATTATGATCAAGATTATCATCAATCATCATCATTGTTGATGAAGATGATTGTGTTGTTGTCGTTGTTAATTGTTTTGTATGACTATGGTGATTATGATGATTATGGCCAACATCAATATCCGTTCGTTTCGATATTTTCGTTGAATTATGATTATTATGATTATTTGATAAACGATTTTTATCATCAAAATCAACCACAGTTGATGATACAACATTTGATGCTGTTTCACGATTTATTGTTGTAGTCGTTGTTGCCGTCGATGTCGAAGTTGAGAGATCATTTGATTGTTGCTTTGTCGTCGTCATTGAATTCAATGTTGGCGGCGGTGGTTGAATCAATGATGGTGGTGGTGTACATAATGTTGTTGATGATTGTTGTTGTTGTTGATTTGAATATTGTTGCAAATGTAAATTGGATAAATGATGTTGAAATGGATTAAAATGGAATGGTGAAGTTGATGCGGCTGCTGCTGCTGCTTGATTCAAAAGATGATGATGTGCAGCAGCAGCTGCTGCTGCCGATGGACTTGTTGAATAATGATGATATAATAATGGTGAATTACTAAGTATTGGTGAACGCATCAAATGATGTAAATGATGATGACTAGTTGTTGATGATGATGATAACATTGTTTGATTGGCGGCTGCGGCTGCCAATGCTGCTGCTGATGTTGATGATGTTAATCCAAATGCCGGACTTAATGTACCTTTGAAAAGAAAACAAAAATGTAACAAAACAAAATAAAGATTATTATCCAAGAATTTTTTGTGTTGACACGCAAATGGCAAACAATTGATAATTGACAACATGCAAATCAATCATTATCATCATATTTTTTCAAAATGATGCGTGATTTCCAGAATTGGATTATCCTTCAATGTTTGTGTTTTTTTCCATAAGTTGAATTTTCTTATTAAACAGAAAACTAAGTGACTATTTATCGCCTATCAATTCAATTCCAATGATAAACATCTATATTTTTTTTCTTCAATCAAACAAATGATCCTATCAACATTGGTCAACATTCAAAATAACCAAATTAGTTTCCATTCAATGATAACAACAAACAAACAAACGAAAAAAAACAAATCGTCCTTTGACCTTGTTCAAATCAACCAAGAAAGAAATTCTTTAATCGATAAATTATTGACCGACAAAGAAACATTAACATCATTGAAACATACAAGGTAAAATCTATGAACATTATCATCATGATATTCATATCATTGTCATTATCATCATCATCATATAATATGAATATTTTTCTGCTACTCTTAGCATCATCTAGATTAAATTTCACTTTTTTTCTTGCTTGAATATACATTCCCATCATCATCATCATTTTTATCATTGCTTGCCTGTCATCATGGAAAATTGAGATCATTAAACCTGAAATGTACTGACAGTGGACTGACTTTATACGAATGACTGACTGACTATTGGGTGATTATGACAACAACAACTTGAACATCATCAAAAAAAAATGTCGACAAATCAATTTTGGTTCTCGCTATGTTATGAGAAAAAAAACTTCTTCAACAAAACATAACATCCTCATCATAGTATCACATGGTGATGATGATGGTTGAATAGAATTTCAACAACAACAACAACAAAAACATCACAGCATGAACACTGAAACTCTGTTGATGATTCGGATCTTAAAAAAAATCATCGATCGAACAATCAATGATGATGAAAATGCTTGGTGCAGACAACATACCACCACCAGTTGTCGACACACCCGATGTTTCATCGTAAATTAAAACATAGAATTTGCAAAAAAAAATCAATAAATTTCTTTTTTACCTGCACTTAGATGGCCATATGAACCAGATGCAGCTGATGATGAACGAGATCCATGATGATTATGATGATTATTGATAAACGATGTCATCAATGAATTTGGTGAAAAACGTATCATTGAATTTATATCAAACATTTGATCATATGAGGATGATGCTGAACTTAATGCACGTTTACGATTTGTTGTTGTTAACGAATGAATCGGATGTGATGATGATGTTGAACTTGGTGTACGAAATAAGGATGATGGTGTTGCCGTTGTTGTTGTTGTCGATGCTGTTGTTGTTGTTGTTGTTGTCGTCGTCGTTCCATTTGTAATCGTTGATGAATCTACGGATGCGGATGCAGCAGCCACAGCTGCTGCAACTGCTGCAGCTTGATTATTTAAAAATGCTGCTGCAGCAGCTGCTTGTACAGCTGCGGCTGTTGTTGTTGCGGCAGTTTCGTTGATTCCAGATCCGGTTGATGACGATGATGACGAAGACGATGATGATGATGATAATGTTGATGATGATGATGGTGGTGTTTGACCAGATAATGCTGCCATCGATGCTGCCATACGTTGATTTAATAAGCTCATTTGTTGAAGGTAATCCGTATTGAATGTCGGTGACATTGCTAATTCTATAAAGAAAAATGAATGAAAAACGAGAATTAATCAATCAATCAATCAAATGAATTGAATAATTAATGAAATTGTGGTGATAAGAAAAAAGTTTCCTAAGTGAAGTTTTTTTTTGGAAATTCGCAATTAAAATTAACGACTTTTGCAAATTATCAGTCAATTAATTTGCATCAGATCAACCAACCTACCAGCCAGAGAAAAACGAAACGAAAAAAAACACAGGTTTTTTTTATAGACACCAAAATGTCCACAAGGTGTAATGATGTTGATCTTAATCATTCAATCAATCTTTTTGATCGTCAGCCATCAGTCAGTGAAAATGTCAATTGTCAAAATCATTAAATTGAATAATAATTTCATTGCTCTCTGAACTAAATAAAAAACCAAAAAAAAAGTTTGTTTGCAAGTATCGCCAAATCATAAAATTAACTTATTCAAGACTTTTTGGTTGTTTATCTGATTAAGAAATTATCATAGTCGTTTAATGGAAAAAAATACTTATCAAATAAAAAAAATAAAGAAAGAAAAGAATTTCGCATTTGACATTCATCTTGACCTGTGTAGTTGATTTTCTTGAAAAAAAATCATTTGAAAATTATGACAATAAAATTGAAAAAAAAATCAATTCAAATTATTATCAGATTATGATAAATTCCTCTTAATATGGTAGAGAATCATGAAGAAATTAAAAAAAAGATTCACCAAAAGAGAGAGAGAGATTTATTGGTTTGCAACAACCGATAACAACTTTTTGAACTTTGAAATCAAAAAAAAAAACTGGAAAAATTACCATGTTGACCACTGCCACCAAAGACATTATCGTCGTCAACAGAAAAATTGCAAGATTATCATTAAAGATTTATGACAAACAACAAACTTCATTCATTATCACCATTTTTTGTTTTTGTTTGGCTTTTTTGAATTTAGAGATAGAGAATTATGATGTATAATTTATTTAATTGCTATTTTTTCTGATCAAAAATCAAAAATCAAAATATCAACCGATTGTCATCATCATCATCATCATCGGTGATGCTTGACCGGCTGATGGAAAAAAAACTTCACAAACTTCGTTCCGAAATTATTAGGTTTGGTTTTTGTGGTTTTTGCCTTGAAAAAAACAAGGTCCAATAAGAATTCTGAACAGCAACAAAATAAAAACAGGAAAAAGACAATTTTCATTTCAATTTTCTTTTCTTTTTTGATTCACACCGACAACAACGAATAGAGAATTGCGAATCGAATGATAAGATTTATCGATGATTGTCAAATGACTATGACGACGACGACGACGACCCACAATTCTTCTTATCGATCATTTTATTCAGTCAATTTCCTTTCAAAAGCACCTTATATGTGGAATGGTGATGTAATCATTCCAATCATCATTCATTCGCTCATGGCCAATTTTGATCTCATTTCCATTTCATTTCGTTTTTTGACATGATGATAATTTCATTTTTTTGAAATTGAAATTCCAATCGACTTTTTTCAATTATCTTTATTTTTTCTCAATGATTGTTTGGTTGGTTGGTTGGTTGGTGATTGACCAGACCAATCACCACTAAAGTTTTTTTTTTGTTCCTTCTTTCTTCTTCTAAACAAGACATGATAATGATGGACATCATCATCATCATCATCACAACCATGATGTGATGAAGACTGGCAACAGGGAAAAAGAAAAACTCCACCTTGGTGATGATGATGATACCTGTCAAACAAAAAATATTGAATATTGTTTGAAGCACATCAAGCACATCATCATCTTCTTCGCTATTCATCACTCTCTCTCTCTCTCTCTCTCTCTTTTATCATTTTTTTGATATCATAATTTGTACATTTCAATCAATCAATCAATCAGCCAATATTTAAGATTAGGTCAGATCAAAAAATAAAAATAAAAATTGGTTCTGGCTGTTGTTGACATTTTGGATGGACATTTTCAAACACACAAATACAATTCGTGCAACACTGTGATTTGGAAATTTTTCAAAAAAGAATTTTTAAATTTTTCTTCTAATTAAATTCAGTAAAACAAAGAAGGATAGAGGTGTGGTATTTCTGAGATGAATGCAAAAAACTAGGGCAACATTTTTTGAATTGAAAAAAAACGTGCAACTTTTCTGAGATAAGAAAGACATCTACCGCTCCCCTTAAAATCCGGATTCACCAAACCAAAACAAAACAACCAATGTAAGAAAGGTGGAGTTTTTCGTTTCGTTTCTTTCGATTTTAATTAATTAATTGAAAAAACATAGGCATGAATTTTTCTGTTTTGTTTTCGTTTTTTGATTTTATTACTTAATTAATTAATTAATTGAAAAAATTTACCTGGACTTGATAGGCCACGAAGTGATAATGCTGTTGGACTTGATGCAGCGGCTGCAGCGGCCGCTGCTGCTACCGCAGCAGAATTTGTATGATGATTTAATGCAGCCGGATGTAAATGATGATTTAGATGATTATGATGTGCTGCAGCAGCAGCAGCGGCTGCTGCCGCAGCCGTATGATGCGAATGATGAAATGGTGATGGATAAAATGATCCATGTGGATGCGGCGGATGCGGATGATCATAAGGTGATAAACGACTAACAGCAGCGGCTGCCGATGCAGCTGCTGCTGCATAAGCAACTGATGCCGCAGCTGCAGCTGCTGTTGCCGGTGCTGGTGGCGTCGTTGGTGATGATGATGTTTGCATACCATTCATCGTATGTTGATTATGATGATGATGAATAGGATGATGCGGTACAGCCGATAATGATGACCATAGGTTATAGCGTCCTTAATTAAAAAATAAAACGAAAAATTATTAACATCTCAATTAAAATTCTCGATTCGCAATAAAGTAATTAACACACACAGGTCAGGTAATTAAAAAACGAAACGGAAAAAAAATTAATCTACAAAAAAGCCTTAAGGGCTTTTGAAAGGTAATCCTATTTTAAAGAAAAAAACATAAAATTCATTATCACATACCTTCATGTGTACGTTGATCGATTGGTAATACTAATGTTGGAAATGCTGCTGAAGTAGATGCGGCTGCTGCTGCGGATGTTTGACCTGTTGCAGTTCCATTATTGAATGGCAAACCTAATGAAAATTGGAAAAATTTTGGTGAAAAAACTTTTCTTAAAACATTTGAAAAATAATGAAAATTTTCAATGATAATAAAGACATCATCCAAATCATCATCTTGATCATCATCTTAATCATCATCATCTTTCTTGATTACTACCATGAAGCCATGAAGAGCCCAATCATGATGATGATGATGATGATGGCTTCTATCCAAATATTAATAAAGACGAATGAAGAAAATCAAAAAAAAAAATTGTTGTTGTTGCTTTCTAAATTCAAACTTTCACATAAATCAACAAGCGAAAACGAAAAAAAAACATTGAAAAAATCTCCCAACTAATTTATTTATCTTCACTCTCGAATCGACAGAGAAAAGAAAAAAAAATTCTCGAAGCAAAATTAACAACAACAACAACCTAAACAACCAAACATATCACGACCCTTCGAATTTTGAACGAAACGAGAAAATCAAAATCTCTCTCTCGCTTGGCTCAGTCGAGATAGATTTTGATTTGATTTTCTTCTTTATTATGGCCAAAAAATAAAATAAAGATGTGGCCCATCATCATCAATTGGAAAATGATGATGATGATGATGAGGATAAGCTTGAAAAGAAAAGATAAAGGTAAGGTTGTTGAGCTTGTTGTTGTTTTGGTCATCGACTTGATTGACCACCACCACCATCAGCATTCACCATGGCCATCAGTCAACCACCTGGTTCGCCAAAATCGAAGAAACTTTTTTTTCGCTCTCTTCACCTTGATCGTTTTCACCTTTTCATTTCTTCTTCTTCGTTTTCACCTCTCACATCGATTCGATCGATTTTTTTTCTCCTATTTTCGCTTCGTTTCGATTCAGCTTTTTGAAAAGAATTCTTCCAAAATTGTATTTTCAATTCATAATCACACACAGAGAGCCAGAGTGAGTGATCAACATTATCATCAGGGGATGATGATGATGATGAATGGATAGATAGAATATCCACGAATGAAAAGAAAGCAGAAAAAAACATGACTAAGGAGAAAAAATTTCTCCAAATCCTAACCATGATGATGATGATGATAGTGAAAGCTTGAAATGATGATGATGTTATTATGAAAAAGCGAAAGAGAGATGAGATTAAAGTGAAGAAGAAGAAAATGAAGAAATCAAGAAGCCAAATTCCTATTCCTTTTACATTCATGAACAAGATTCGTGTTTGTTCGTTTCTAAAAAAATCGTGTTATAAAAATTGTCTTGCTTAGGCATCATCTTCTTCATTCTTCCTAAAGCGATAATTAAGACATTTTCTCTATGTGTGTGTTTTCAATGTTTGAACACGGATCGGATATCAGTGAATTTTTCGAGAGAAAAAAAAATTAATCAATCGATGATGTTCGAATTGGGAAATCACGAATGAATGTTTGCTAATTAAATTTTATTTGATTTTTATTTTTCAATTCTTTGCTTGCTCTTTCGACTGACAAATATGATAGCAAAATCCTCTGATACATGTCTCTGATTTATTGATTTTCATGAATTTCAGAATTGCGAAAATATATGAGAAAAAAAACTTACCAAAATGTGGTTCCATTTTGTAAAAAACAAAGTTGATCAATAAATATCGGGAAAAATCGATGGATTTAAAGTTGAAAATTGAATGTGAATTTCAACAATTTTTTTTCCATAAAACTGATGATAAAAAAGCATTAATTTTTCATAATCATCATCAAATAAAAGACTTGTTGCGTTTGTTTTTGCCCCAAAAACAATCAATCAATCAATCGATCAATAGATGACGATACTATCGATATTTGTTATTATCGATCCAGACCAGAGAAAAGAATATTTGTTTTTGTTTGCTTTGTTTGGATGTGCAATCTGTAAACGGAGAGAAAATAAAAGAAAAATTTTTTTGATTAAAATAAGCAAAAAACAAAATTCCGAAAAGAAAATTATCATATTGACATCATCAAATTGTACAACAAAGAAAAAAACATTGTTAAATTTGCCAATTGGTTGTCAAGAATTGAATAATTTTTTTTTTTTGATTTGATTGATGATCGATTGGTTTGGTTTGGTAAAAAAAAGAACAAAAGAACCTATGTATAGTGTTTGGTGGTGGTGCCAGGTACATTTATTTATTTTTATTTCGACAAACAAAACAAACAAACAATGCCAAAATCTTAATCACAAGACAAGACAATTTTCGCGTACAAAAAGTTTTGGTTTTGTTTGGTTTGCTAACCAAACAAACACACACGTGCATTTGAAACATTTTTTTTTGTTGGAAAATTGAATTGAATGCAAGAATTTAATTAAAATTTTAAAATTTAGTTTTAAAAGTTCAAATTGAATGACCAATGGCCAGTGTTTGTGTATTTTGTGGTTTGAGAAAATTAATGATAAATTCACATCATGATCATCATTGATAAAAAAAATAAACAATGAATGGTCGCTTTGTTTTGGTAACCAGATTTTATTCAAAAAACAAAAACCAGAAAAAAATGTAAATTCTTCCAACAAATTTTCAGTTTTTTTTTGAAAAAGATCATTTTTCATTTCACACACACAGAAAAACAAAACAAACAATCAATACTTTTGTTATATGAATGTGTTCCAGGATTGAAAAAGAAAAACCAAAAGTCATTCACATTATTTTCATATGAAAAAAAAACATTAACAAAAATCCAATGTGAAATGACAACCGACAAACCGATAATCTTTTTTTTTACATAAGAAAAAAAATGATAATTATAAATTCTAAACACACACACAAACAGCAAGTTTTTTGATTTGATGGACCATGGCCAAAGAAAAAAAAATACCTGGGTCACAAAACTGCTGCTGCTGTCAGCCAACCAATCATCAACATCATTATTTGGTGAAATGATGATTATGATAAAGTGTGTGCGTGCCAAACATCAGCGTCAAAAAATTATGTTAATTTCGCGATCATCGCAGAAAAACAAATCATCAATTGATGATGGTAACAACAACAAGCTATGAATAAATAATGCGAAAAAATCCAAACAATTTTTTTTTTGTTTGATCCAAAAAAAATCGCACTCTGTTAAACAAACAAAATGAAAAATCAATCGAACATCGTCAGGTTATCAAGTTTTATCATCAGATTGGACAACAGCAGAAAAGTATCACTATACAAAGATAACCAAAAAAAAAGCAGATGAAAATGATGGACAAAACATCAGAAAACCAAAAGAATGGTTACCTGTGTTATTCATTTTCCTTATTCATCAACATCATCAACATCATAATCTTTTTTTTTATTCAAAGTCACGAAATCTTTTTTCGTTGTTGTTTGTTTGTTAAGATGAATGGATAATTTATTCAAAACAACAACAACAACATGTCAGATGTAACAACAACGAACAACAAAAAAATTATAACAGGTAAAAAGACAAACAAACAAACCCAAACAAACAAAAGAAACAATGTAAACATGCAACGAAAAATTCAATGAAAAAAATATCTTTATTATCATCCATCCAACACCAACACGATGAATAAAATGAATGAGGATAATGTTAATGTAAAAAATCAAAAATATAAAAATAATTTTTCGCACAATAATCAAACCCAAAAAATGATTTATTATCGTTTCGTTTCGTTTTTCAACGACAAAAGGAAGCAAAATTGATTAAATTTCAAACAAATCTGATAACTTTATCTTCGAAAAAAAAGAAGAAACCTAAAATTTTTGGATACATTCAAACAATAGAAATATAGCATATAGCACCCAACCAAAACTGAAAAAAATCAATTTATATAGCGCCTTGTGTGTGTGTGTGCAATGAAAATGATTAATTTTTCTCAATGATTTTTTTTCACTATATAATAATGATCGTCATCATCCATGTCTATATAATGCATCAATGCAGTGCACAAAAACACAAACACACACATAATGAACCATAAGCCTCTCCTGTTTGTTTACTATATGATGATTATAATGATGATGATGATGGGCGTTTGTTTGGATTTCTTTCTTTCTTTCTCTATTTTTTTCTTTCTAATAAATATGCTTATGCCGCAAAGGTTGACGCCCGCATGCATATTTTCGTTTATATTGTTGACATCAATAAATACAACGGTGTAAGTAATAATGACTATATATTGGGAAAAATTCTTTTGTAAAAATTTATTTGAATTTTTCCAGGTTTGTTTTTTTCAACAAAAAATTTTAATGGGAAAAAAATTTAAAACAAAACAAAAAAAACCAATAAATTTTGAACAAAGAAAAGGTCATCGAGAAGGGTATCATCACATTACATTACATCATTGAAAAAGGTCATCATCACACGCATCAGAGTCAAAGGGTTAAAATTCCCGATACTACCACCATCAAATTATCATCATTTTTTTTAGAAAGAACAATCATTGATGCCGACACCGATGCCGCCGTTGCCATCAATGATAATTTTCACAGATCAGTTTTTTTGTTTTTGTTTTTCCGAAGAACCATGTGAGCCAAAATCACAATCAAGTTTCTTTTGGTATCCATAGCATCGTTTAGGCGTTGTTGTTATATAATTTTTTTTTCCGGGCAAAAAAAAAAGAAATGCAAGATGTTTTCTGTGTATATGGAGATTGATAAATCAAAGTTCAGTAAGAAAGTGCAAAAAAATTCATATGGTTTTTCGACAACAACAACAAAAAACCATCACCGAATAATTATATCGATCATGTGATCGAAAAAAAACACTTTGAAAATTATGACCGCTTTATGAAAAGAAAGTAAAGGGTTAGAAAAAAATTTGTTGTTTATGGAAAATATTTTTTTTTCCAGACAAAAAACTTTTCAAAAACAATTTTTTTTCTTATATTACAGATGCTATAATCAACAACAACAACGAATTTTGCTGGGTTTTCTTGTTTTGTGCGTGAGATTTTGCTGTTTAAATGTTGGTGGATATAATATATGTGAAGAATGCCCCCTAAAGGCAAAACAAAAAGAAAAAACAACTCTTTGATTTCACATAGATGTGAATCAAGAATAGAATACAAAAATATCGATAATAACAAATAACAACAATAACAAACAACAAAACATTAACATAGATATGTTTATAGCCCTAAAAAATCGAATGAATAGTGTGTTATTTATCGCGCAATGATGGTATATCGTTTTTATGCGAAAAAATTGGTGTTTGTTAACAGCATTTTTTTCTGCGAAAATGGTTACACAACAACAATAATAACAACAATAACAACAATTCACAATTCCCGATATAATTGATGGATCACAATCCTTTATGGCTGGTTTTTTTTTGTTCATTTAAACAAACCAAAAACAAAACAAAAAACACGATTTTTTCCGATATCAGATCTGTATCCGATCGGTATTGAATTTCATTCAATTTTCAGGTCTAGAAACAAGGTCTGAAAATCTTCAATGAATTTGAATTTAGCCACAACCAAAAAATCATTGTCGACATTTAAGGTAATTTGAGACCAAAGAGTTCATCTGTCAAACTCTAACTGAATATTACAAAACAAGACAAGCTGGACCCAGAGAGAAAATTGAATAATGATCACATATCACCACCAGTATATGTGAAACACATTTTTACAATAATCATTATCCTTTTTTTGTCGTTTTTTTTGCAACGAATGATGATGATGAAAAAGTTTCAGATTACAACTTTACAGAGAAGAATTTTTCTATTTTTTCATTTCTTTTTTTCTGGAAACTTTCACTCCCCTTTTGTATGGAAAATGTTTGTGTGGATATTATCAGCCGCAGCTTGAATGAATGGCTGACTGGCTGGCTGGACGAAAACGATAAGCTTCTTTTTGTGACGCGATCAAACTACCAAACCACCAAACCAAACTAAACTAAATCAACAATAATACCAGTAGTTAGTTTAGACCGATTATTATTGTGAATAGCTTCATTGTTGTTGATTTCATAATCCGGATTTTTATAAACCCTCCGCGCGCTATTAAAGCAACAAAAAAAAAATTCAATGCATATTTTATCCCCAATATGACAATTGACAAAACATTTGTTCGTGTCAAACACAATGTGTTTTTCTGCTTTTTTTGGTTAGATAATCATCATCATCATCATAACCGATAATGGTCCTTGTTGTTGTTGTTGTAATGTATGGTACATACACTTAACATAAACTTAACAAAAATGTCCATTAATATAATTAGGTTTTTTCTTCTGATGGTGATTATTATTATGGAACCATGTTATATTTGACGATTTGTCGCAAAAACTGTAAAGACTATTGAAAATATAGTTCATCATGTGTTGAGGATTTTCAAATAACAAACAACATTTGTTTGAACCAGCGCGACACATTTGAAAAAAAAATCATTTACATCATCATTCATTTCATTTCATTTTAGTGGAAAAAAGTCAAGTTTTTTTTCTGGAGGGGGGAGGTCATAACCAAACCAAACAAACAACAAATCCATTATTCAAATTCATTCAACAAAGACAACAACAGAAAAAAAGCTTCCGTTTCATTTTTATTTTCAAAAGTAATTTTTTTTTCATTCATCAAAGCCGACTAGATTAATTGAGTCATTATATGCCGGTAGAAAGCAATGGTAAAAGTGTTGCTAAAAAACTGGTGAGAATTAAGCTCGCGAGTGAAAAATACATGATGATGATTATGAAAAGAGAGAGTGTTTTTACAGATGAAAAATAATGTGTGTTAATCA